GTAAAATTATAATAGTTAACTATTTTTAGTATATTCTCAAATTTGATAGGTATAATTAAATACAGGAACTTCAACTCAAGTAAAAGTTGATCAATTTAAGTCAGATCAAAATTTTAACTGATAATTCTGAAAGCTTAGGTTCTGAACTATCAATTTCTACGGTTAAAATTTTATTTTTATATATAGTAAATAAAGTTTTAATGCAAAAAGACTGAATAATTTTTATTATAACCAAGTTCCTATTATAGAGGTTCCGCACTGTATCAAAAAAATAATTAAAGATCTATCAAAAACGCTACCTGACAATCATGTGAATGTGTGTACTTGTAGCACTAAGCAAATTTGGTGTAAGGTTCCGAGTTAATAATATAATGTGCTTTAATATTTCGAAACTATGATTTTTAATTTAACCGTTTTTCGTTTCGCATCTTTCACATTAACAAACGAAAATGAGTAACGGAGAAAAATTAGAAAACAATGAAACCGAAGTCATTGTCACGGAATCAAAGAAAACTGAACTCACTGGTTTTTTGAAGACACTTTCTACATTTACAGGAGATATTTATAGTTTAACCTGTCCCAGTTTTTTACTTTCTGGTGTTTCTACCTTAGAATATTGGTATGTAAACATTAAAAAATCGGGTTTATTCTTTTTATTTCATATTTATAATTTCAATATAATAAATAATGTAAATAATTAAAATAGTCGATATTGGGCAGACTTTCCAGAACTTTTTGCAAATATTTCAAAATCATCTGAAGAGGTAGAAAGAGCGATAGCAGTTCTTAAATGGTACGTTAGTACTCTTTATGGATCATTCGCATCTAGGAAAGATAAAGAGAAAATTGAGAAAAAACCTTTCAATCCAATCCTTGGTAAGGTAAAGTTTTTTAAAATTTAATTACATTGATATTTTTTAAAAATTTCGCAAATTCGCTGATCTTTTTATTCTGAACATATAAAGGTGAACAATTTTTAGCCGGATGGGGTGATCGATATAATTGTGGAGAGACTTTCTTGGTCTCGGAACAAGTGAGTCATCACCCACCAATTTCTGCTGTGTATCTTGAAAATAATCAAGCGGGTGTGTCGGCAAATGGACATAGTATGTAAAAAAAAAATTTATTTGGCACTTTTTGATACTCGAATTATTTGAATTATTTGAATTATTTGAATTATTTGAATTATTTGAATTATTTGAATTATTTGAATTATTTGAATT